CGTCAAATGGGCATACACCATCTGGTGGCAAAATTTATAACTCGAATGAGGGAAAAATTTACATAGGAACTGTGCACGCAAATTGTAAAATTGTTTATTAAAATAATAAAACACGTTAAAAAAGTAAAAATTTTTTTGATGATGGAATCGACGAAGTTTTCTTCTAAAGTTAAATCAAATAAAAAGTTAATATGTTAAACAGTTTGGTTTCTATTCTCCTTCATGTCGTATATCACATTCCTACTCTATGCTTTGACATTGTCATGCATGCACATTATCAATTTTTATTTTTAATATACTGTACTGTGATTGTTTTGGAGTAATTAGAAGCAAACCCATTTTCTATCTTCTATTATTTGCGAAATACCAGACAAAATAATTTTCAAAGATTCAGTTAACCTTTCTTGAAAACTGTAAATAGGCATAACTTGTCTATCGTATTCCCTCTTTTTCTTATTTCATTTTGTCTAACTCTGCACCACTTTAATTTGATTTCAACGTTTTTTGGGTTTTGATCCTCGCCCAGTAGGTAGGTACTTCCCCGTTCTTTCATTTTGCATTTTCCTACTTTCTTTTGTCTATGCATGGTACTTGGGTTTGAGGTCTAGTCTTTTCTCGGGGTCTTGGTTTTATAATTGTCTATCCTTCACGTCCGTTTCTTCTGTTCCTCTTCTTTTTGGCTTTAGTTTTACTTTCTAGACACAGCGTACTTTTTCACTTCTTGATGGTCTCAAAGAACTATATATATATACATATAGTTAGTTAATAATTCTGACTTTATTCTGTAGATATAACAGAAGATACAGACCGCCCATTTTCGGATGGCGTTCGAGATCATTGTCATTTTGAGATATAACTAATGATTGCTGTTATTTCTAAACGATCCATACTCTGTTCTTTGCGGTTCCAATGTTTTCTTCAGTGTCTTTTCACTAATCCTTGACTTGGATATAACAAACCGTTTGATATGTATGTGTTTACACGTACAGATTGCTCCATGTATACAAAAAGAACGCTGGCAAGGACTATGCCAACTAAGATCAGTAGTTCCTAACCTTTTTAATATTGTTACCCCTGTGACCTATTAAGAAAACTGATTTTACCCTGACCTTAAAATGTTATCAATACAAACAGCACAAGCAAATACAGATATCTTTCATAATCACAAATTGCACATTAGTCTTACAATTTTATATACCTAAACAATAAATTAAGCAAAAATAGTTAGATTGATGGTTGGTATTGTTTTGCATTTTTCAAGTTTTTTCATGTTAGCTTTAATTTCGCTTAAAGCGCATCCTAAGTAATCTTCCACATTTAGAAGGATTCTGGTCTTTGTTTCCAGTGTAACCAAAATTGAAAAACCACTCTCACATCTATAGGTGCTGGCAAAGGGTTTTAGCATTTTTAAAGCTCTCTTTGCTAGAGCAGGATATTCGGCACCAGCTATTCGCCAAAATGTGCTAAGATCATAATTTTGAAATTCTACTCTGTAAGTTGTATTGTGGCGTAGTCCAAAATATTCCACTTTGGCCGCTACGACTTTCGTTTTTAATAATGTTATCATCCGTAGTAAATCGTCTTATTATCCAAGAACTGGATTGACGATTATCCATATCCGGAAAATATTGCTTCAATGAGTTTATTGCTACAGATAAATGCCGAACCACAGAATTTTCAAATGTGATCTTGTTTTTTCAATATTTACCAATTGTGCACACAGTTGTATAAACATCGACACATCTATAATTTTATATTTTTACTATCTAGCTACGTATTTTAGGTCTTAATTATTAGGTTCTTTGTTACCGCCATAGAATAATTGATTTACCCCCGAGAGGGGGTAATTAGCCCCAGGTTCGGAATCACTGATTTAGATCAACGTTTGCTCACTTGTAGGTGATAAAATAATTTTATTTTTTTCAATCGAGAAACGAAATGTAATTGGAATCGAACAAATTTACTGAATTTTTTATGCACACTTCATTACCCTTTCACTATCCTTTACATATATTGCAAGTTAAATCGCTCTTGTTTATAATAAAACACCACAATAGCTGCATTACTGACTGCAATAGTATTTTCTAGGTACCTATATGTAGGTATTCTGTTCATTTTAAAATGGTTAGAAGTAGAGTGTTGTATTAGTTTCTATCAGAAGAAAGAGAATCAAGAACAGATGAAATCGCCGAAGCAAAGTCAGGAGCCAATTAAAATTCAGCGAAATAGAGACAATTCTTTCTGTCAGCTTGACGTACATTTTTATTATTCCGATTCCGAGGACCGAAGGTTACGATATCTATGCTAATGGTGGTAGTTAATAGGTAGCGCATACGCATACAGAGGTACACGTGAAGGTAGATATAGAAAAAACCTGGCCTCCGCCTACCGAAAAATGTAAAATGTTAATGAGAATTTCTTAATGAAAGAACGAAAATGCATCAAACGCGAGGGCAGTAAA